CATGATAGGATCTCTGACATCCGGCCAAATCAGTTCATCATTTGGAAGAAAGAAGGTAGGCGAGTAGAGTTCGAATTCATTAACAATATATCACTAATGTCTTAATTTTAGCCACTGGTGATTTGCTTAGCTATGACGGGTGTACTGAGCTTAGCCACGTATTTCGTCACCAATCTTATCCAGTTCACAGCAATTCGCTTTGTACTGGGACTCTTCACGGGGGGTCACTCAACGTAAGTTGCTACTCTGCGGTGGCTGACACTCATTAGCACTTCCGGAGCAATGTGTTTAGGTGTAAACAATGCGTAAGTAAGACGAAAGCAAAGGCGATAAATAATACTTGGTGATGTCTGCCACATGACTCTTCGTTTCTACAGCATAGATTATATATTTGAGGATTAGACAGAATTGCTTGAAGAATTCATTTAAAACCATCATTTACTCAATGATTCTCCTTTATTTCACCTTTATTTTACTCAGTAACATAGGCTTAATTTCATATTTTAGGGTTGTTGTCGTTTACCTGCTCGAGAACATTCCTAAGAAATCAAGAATGTGGATTAACACTGCAATTTCCTACTCCCCAAATGTGATAATTCTTGGAGTAGTCGCTTACTTCTCTCAGCATTGGAGAATACTGGCACTGGTGATAGCAGCTTTGCATATTCCAGCTGTTGCATTGATACTGTAAGTTGCAATTACTTAACAATAATAACACAGAAATTAATGATGAAAAATACTGATGGCTTTGAGAAAAGAAAAATCTGAGGATTTTTTGGGAATGACCAAGGATTTCTACTTATATTTATAAAGAGAGTATATTCAGGTACCTTCATGAGAGTCCAAGATGGCTCGTACAGAGAGGGCGAATGCATGAAGCCAGACGAGTGATTCTTGACATTGCAAGTATTGACGCCGATAAAGCCAACATTGATGAGAAGAATCTCGACAAGATTCTACAATTGGAACATGATGTAAGCATTCCTTAGATAGTTAAGTGGGTCCAATACAGGAATTAATTTTTTCAGCGATTTGAAATTATGGGGAAGAAGAGACACACCTACTGGCATGTCTTCAGAAAGGCGCACCTCGCATTGCCTTTGTGCATCATTGCATTCAGCTTGTAAGTAT